AGTTGGATCAGCCTGTAGTGTGTTTTTCCACTTTAATTTCGAGTGTGACTCCAAATCCAGACCTCCATGGGTTGAACAATTTGATTTCCATTTTTTTATTTTTGTGTGATTTTGTTGTCAGCACATTCAACTATGTAAAGAACAAAGTATTTCAGAAGAATATTTAATTCATTCAGATCTGGGATGTGTTATTTTTGTGTTCCCTTTATTTTTTTGAGCAGTGTATATAGTACATATATACGTCTGGTGCTGTAATTATGCCACATCTATATGGACATAGACCCCCACGGAAGTTAAAACATTGCTGGGTCATGTTTGACTGAATCAATAATTCTTACCTGTATACAAATCTTTGATTGATGGTTTATACAGAAATCATAGACAAAAAAAAATATAAGGAATGTGACAGCTCTGTCTTGGATCTTGAGACAATTTACGTTATAAAACAAACAAAAATAAATAAATTATATATATATACATAGTTAATACAATGTTAAACAAAAATCTGCACACCAGTCAAGCCATAAGAGTTGCTTTTCCCACAGAAATCACAAATTTGCAGTGATGTTACTACCGCAAAGGATTCTGGAAGGGCATATGCACATTAGTTCAACAAAGTATCACATTTTTGCCTCAATCCATTTTAATCCCTTAACTTGTTATGGCGTTCTATGCCGTCCCCATTATAATGGCCTTTAAAACCGTTGCGGCAGCATAGTAACGGCTTTCTAACCCTGGAGGTCTGCGGTACTTACCTCAGCCGCAATCCTCTTCGGGAGGACTGCCTGACAGCCCAGACAGCCCTCCCACGGCAAATCAGGCCCCCTATAGCTGGTTTTGGATGTGACAGCAGGGGGACTGTCTGGGCTGTCAGACAGTCCCCCTGCTGGTGGGAAGTATGAAAAAAACTATCATTACACGTTAAAATAAATTAAATGTGTGTGTATATATATATATATGTATATATATATATATATACACACATCTTATATACATGTAACATCATACGTAGTGTATTTTAATGTTAATATAAGTACATATATTAGTATTAAAATACACTTAGAATGAACTTACATATAAATGATATATATTATATAAAATACATATATATATATAATGTTTATATATACGTATAATTACAATAATAAATGAAATAATAAAATAAATAAATAAAATATTTAAAAAAATTAAAATAAATTATATATACATATGTAATTACATTATAACTGTATTTTGTTATATATATATATATATATATATATATATAAATATATATATATATTGGTAACAAAACACACTTAGAATGACATTCTCTATATATCTATATATATATATAAAATACAAATAACCGCAAATATATATATATATATATATATAAATATATCTATAATTACATAAATGATTACATAAGTATACACTTAGAATTTAAATACATATATATGTATATATATATATATATATATATAAAAAAAATTCTACATGTATATTTAAGGAATCTTTTAACATAATTATGTGATTGAATTAATTAAAATTTGATTGACGTGCTTGACAACCCAGACAGAAAGTGCAGAGAATTTAATGCGCAAGCACTATATTTAACCCTATAACTTTCCAAGACACCATAAAACCTGCACATGGGGGGTACTGTTTTACTCAGGAGACTTCGCTGAACTCAAATATTAGTGTTTCAAAATGATTCAGTAAAAGTGAAGTTTTTTGCATTTTTCACACACGAACGGCACTTTTACTGACGATATTATTGTTGTAATATGTTTTACTGTTTTGAAACACTTATGTTTGTGTTCAGTGAAGTCTCCCAAGTATAACAGTAGCCCCATGTACAGGTTTTATGGTGTTTTAGTAATTCAGAGAGTCAAATATAAGGCTTGCATTTCATTTTTTTCACAATTAAATTTGCCAGTTTGGTAATATTGCCTTTGGGACCGTATGGTAGCCCAGGAATGAGAATTACCCCCATGATGGCGTTTGCAAAAGTAGACAACACAATGCATTGCAAATGGGGTATGTCCAGTCATTTTTAGTAGTCACAAACACTGGTCAAATATTTGTTTTTTGCTGTTTTCACACAAAAACAAATATGAACGCTAACTTTGGACAGTGTTTGTGACTAAGTGGCTACTAAAAAAGACTGGACATACCCCACTTGCAATACCTTCTATTGTGTACTTTTGAAAATGGTATGTCATCGTGGGGGTAATTCTCATTCCTGGGCTACCATAAGGTCTGAAAGTTAACATTACTAATCTGGCAAATTTTACTGTGAAAAAAATATGAAAAATGGAATGTGCTATATTTGACTCTGTAACTTTCCAAAACACCGTAAAAGCTTTTAATGGGGGGTTATTGTAGTACTTGTGAGACGTAGCTAAATAAAAATATGTGCCTTTTATTGCAGTAAAAGCGAACAGTATTATGACATTTACAGCTAAAATGTCAGACGGTACTACAACTTTTTTAAAAACTTTTTTTATCATTCTTTATTTTATTGAAGCATTGAGTGATCATTACAGAGATGAAGTGGAGGAGATATATAACTGATATCTATGCAAGAATACATTGAAAAGTGACATTACACATTCTCCCTAGAGGGACTGCTTCATTTTATGGGTTATAGTTAGTAGCTTTATCCTAGTATCAAAAACAGTTAGATAGAAACAGGTAGATAACGTTAATATGAGCAATCAGGTTTTAAGTGGCATGTATAGTATACGCTTATCTTCCCCTGAGGCTAGTAGGACACTTTACTTAGTAAGGTATTCGGTCTGGAATAATACGCTATGTGGCATGCCTGCTGGTTCTGCACAATCTCATACTAGGCTACAGGAAACAAGCTAGGTACAAATTTATAGTAAATAAACTGTGCTAGAATTACATACTAATCTGTTGTGCCACGTTCTGAAACATTAAAGGGTTAACTGACCAGCCAATGGAGTAGATTATAAAGTAAGTAAGCTTATTCAGCATAGTTAGCATGTCAACGGTTCACATATATACAATTTAAGCTGGCAAACATGCGTGAGTTTTTCCACCCCAGGCACACCCCCCATTGGCAAGCTGTAAGTCCATGGCTGTGTGGCATGAGACCCGTCCAGGTAATATATAGGAGCTCGGGAGCCCAACTGTTGGTTGCAGACCAGTTGAATGGCAGAGTAATCGGTCCCCTGTGGTGTGTTTGCAGTTCAGTCCAGCGCCTGCCTTGGGTGGGAAACAGCTCCCTGCAGCCATGCCGTGTCCCTGTGTGGTCTCACGGCCGCAGGCTGTCAGGTCTCAGTGTTCCTGTTTTCTGCGCAGCTCACCAAGAGGGTCAGAGAGTGCGGCTTCATCGCTGGGGCTCCGTCTCTCGCGGTGGGTACATACTCCGTGGGTGCCCTTGGTGTGCGTGGGTGACAGCTCCCAGGCGCCGGTCAGTTGTTGTAATGCTGCCTGCGGAGGTACAGCGTGAATCCGGTTTCTCCACCGCGGTTTAGCTTGTCTCAGGATGGGTCTCAGCTGGAGATTGCCTGTTCCTTTGCTTCCCATGTCGGCCTGCTGACAGCGTGCGGCGGATGCATCCGCCACCCTTCATGCTTAGGTGGCTCGCCATGCGGTCTCCGCGTTTCTTTGAGGGTAGCTCCGTCACTGCCTGGAGTGCTGGTGTTTTTGCATGCTGGTAGGCCCAGGGTGGGGGCCGAGATCACCCCCGCCGGCCCAGTGGGGGGGGAACAGGACCAGACCCCCCTAGCTTCGAGCTTCGCCCATACCGCTGGTGGGCAGGATAGCTGGGCAGCGGCCGTCCACCCCGCTCACCGCCCAAGCGGACCCGGTTGTGGGTGACGGAGGGCGCCCCTCCGAGGGACTAAAACTTTGCAGCAAGCCTCTCCTCGGAACCAGGGTGGTTTCTTGCACTGGGTTGCTGTTGCCAGTCAGTAAGTTTGTATAAAGCCGGGTTTTTTTTGTATGAAAACTGGGTGAAATTGCAGGAGCTGCACTATCGTGCATCCGTTCGGCATGGCGGTCCAGCCCCGCCCCCCACAACTTTTTTTTTAAAATCTTAATTTCTCACCTTTTTTTTAAAATTTTAAGCATAATTATGTTTCATATATGAATAGTTCATGATGAATTAAAGTCCTGTTCCTCCTGAACAAAATGATATATAATAAGTGTGGGTGCATATAATATGAAAGAGGTGAATTACGGTTGAACAGACATATAGCGCAAATTCCAGTTTTTGTTTACATTTTGTTTTGATCAGAACGTGTACTATTGACTCCGTCCTGAAGGGGTTAAACAAGGGACAAGGTTTGCGTTACCTGTTCTTTAATGGTAGGGTCGTGCAGTAAGGGTTCATTAATGTAAAATCCACACGCACATTTTTGTTTATTTTGTATGTGCAAGCTGGAGCCCAATTACGTCACTTTATTGTATTATTATTTTGGAAATCATGGCAAAGTTAAGAGAGCTACTGGTCATTAATTTAAAAAAAAAAAACTCTGGGAGGAAAACCAGAAAGAAGAGCCTGGTATGTGTATAACTGTTAGTGCTTTAAAGTGGTGGCTGTGATCACCCTAACCAGGCTAGGTTAGCATTACAGGCTAATCAGGCAGCTCAGCATGCTGCTGCTGCAGATACCGGAAGAAAGATGCCGCCATCTTTGTTGTGGGCAATCGCCCATGGGCTGGTATAATAAATCTAAATCAGGAGTGAGAAATTAAACATATCCAACCATCACCACTGCCTGTGAAGTCCAGTGCCCCACCTCAATGCAATGTTTGTATGTTGCTATAGGTTAGCTGTTATTATTGAGAAGATGAATGTAAAGATGATTTGAAATATATTTTAAATAGCTTTGTGCTGGTTTAAATGGCATTCAGGGGACTGTGTGAGAAGGATGCTCTTATTGCCATGAGCGGCTTTGGCTTGACACAGAATTGTTTCCCTAACTAAAGATGGCGGCCTTTGCCTCAGGCGGGGTCCTGGCAGTGTAATGCTCTCTTTCCTGCCCGGTTTGAACGTGGAGCGGTGAGTGTGTGCTGGGTCCTGATAGATCTGTCAGTGCGAGCAAAACCTGCATTTATTGTAGGCAAACGTAACCAACGTCATATTTATATATAATAACTTTATAATAAATAGTAACACTCCTGGGGGTGGGATATAGAGCGGATTGTACCCAATAGTACTATTTATTGAGAGGTGCAGGAACTTCTCCCATTAAAGGACCCCTGTACTCTCGCCCATGCCAGGTATTAAAGGACCCCTGTACTCTCTCCCCTGCCAGGTATTAAAGGACCCCTGTACTCTCTCCCCTGCCAGGTATTAAAGGTCCCCTGTACTCTCTCCCATGCCAGGTATTAAAGGACCCCTGTACTCTCTCCCCTGCCAGGTATTAAAGGACCCCTGTACTCTCTCCCCTGCCAGGTATTAAAGGTCCCCTGTACTCTCTCCCCTGCCAGGTATTAAAGGACCCCTGTACTCTCTCCCCTGCCAGGTATTAAAGGACCCCTGTACTCTCTCCCATGCCGGGTATTAAAGGACCCCTGTACTCTCTCCCATGCCAGGTATTATAGGACCCCTGTACTCTCTCCCCTGCCAGGTGTTAAAGGACCCCTGTACTCTCTCCCATGCCGGGTATTAAAGGACCCCTGTACTCTCTCCCATGCCGGGTATTAAAGGACCCCTGTACTCTCTCCCCTGCCAGGTATTAAAGGACCCCTGTACTCTCTCCCCTGCCAGGTATTATAGGACCCCTGTACTCTCTCCCCTGCCAGGTGTTAAAGGACCCCTGTACTCTCTCCCATGCCAGGTATTAAAGGACCCCTGTACTCTCTCCCCTGCCAGGTATTAAAGGACCCCTGTACTCTCTCCCATGCCAGGTATTAAAGGACCCCTGTACTCTCTCCCCTGCCAGGTATTGAAGGACCCCTGTACTCTCTCCCCTGCCAGGTATTAAAGGACCCCTGTACTCTCTCCCCTGCCAGGTATTAAAGGACCCCTGTACTCTCTCCCCTGCCAGGTATTAAAGGACCCCTGTACTCTCTCCCATGCCAGGTATTAAAGGACCCCTGTACTCTCTCCCTTGCCAGGTATTAAAGGACCCCTGTACTCTCTCCCCTGCCAGGTATTAAAGGACCCCTGTACTCTCTGCTCTGCCAGGTATTAAAGGACCCCTGTACTTTCTTCTATGCTAGGTATTAAAGGACCCCATGGTGCTCTCCTGTACTTGTTCCTGTGCCAGGTAGTAAAGGGTCCCAGTACGCTCCACTATACGAAGTATTAAAGGGTCCCAGTACTCTCCTGTACTCACTCATATGCCTGGTATTAAAGGGTTTCAGTACTCTCCTGTACTCACTCATATGCCTGGTATTAAAGGGTCCCAGTACTCTCCTGTACTCACTCATATGCCTGGTATTAAAGGGTTTCAGTACTCTCCTGTACTCACTCATATGCCTGGTATTAAAGGGTCCCAGTACTCTCCTGTACTCACTCATATGCCTGGTATTAAAGGGTTTCAGTACTCTCCTGTACCCGCTCCTATGCCTGGTATTAAAGGGTTTCAGTACTCTCCTGTACCCGCTCCTATGCCTGGTATTAAAGGGTCCCAGTACTCTCCTGTACTCGCTCCTATGGCTGCTATTAAAGGGTTTCAGTACTCTCCTGTACCCGCTCCTATGCCTGGTATTAAAGGGTCCCAGTACTCTCCTGTACTCACTCCTATGCCTGCTATTAAAGGGTCCCTGTACTCTCCGCTCCTATGCCTGGTATTAAAGGGTTTCAGTACTCTCCTGTACTCGCTCCTATGGCTGCTATTAAAGGGTTTCAGTACTCTCCTGTACCCGCTCCTATGCCTGCTATTAAAGGGTCTCAGTACTCTCCTGTACTCGCTCCTATGCCTGCTATTAAAGGGTTTCAGTACTCTCCTGTACTCGCTCCTATGCCTGGTATTAAAGGGTCCCAGTACTCTCCTGTACTCGCTCCTATGCCTGCTATTAAAGGGGTTTCAGTACTCTCCTGTACTCGCTCCTATGCCTGCTATTAAAGGGTTTCAGTACTCAACTGTACCCGCTCCTATGCCTGCTATTAAAGGGTCCCAGTACTCTCCTGTACTCGCTCCTATGCCTGGTATTAAAGGGTCCCAGTACTCTCCTGTACTCGCTCCTATGCCTGCTATTAAAGGGTTTCAGTACTCTCCTGTACCCGCTCCTATGCCTGGTATTAAAGGGTCCCAGTACTCTCCTGTACTCGCTCCTATGCCTGCTATTAAAGGGTCCCAGTACTCTCCTGTACCCGCTCTTATGCTTGGTATTAAAGGGTTTCAGTACTCTCCTGTACTCGCTCCTATGCCTGGTATTAAAAGGTCCCAGTACTCTCCTGTACTCGCTCCTACGCCTGCTATTAAAGGGTTTCAGTACTCTCCTGTACTAGCTCCTATGCCCGCTATTAAAGGGTTTCAGTACTCTCCTGTACTCGCTCCTATGCCCGCTATTAAAGGGTTTCAGTACTGTTCTGTGATAAATGTTAAAGGTTTTCGGGAATCAATACCAGCCATGCTAATTTTCACAATTAATTATATATGCGTGGCATCACAAGACGTAACCTTGCATGTTGCATGTTGAGTAAAGTTCAGTAAAGTGTCAATTCAAGGTGAATCCAAAGTGAATTTCTGATTTAATGTCCCCCCTCAAAAAATCACCTGTTAATTGTCTATCCTGCTTTTAAATCTGAAATTTACTTTGAATTCTCACTTTATTAAAGGACCACTATTGTGCCAGGAAAATAAACTCGTTTTCCTTTCATTATAGTGTTTATAGGTCCCCCCCCACCCTCATGGCCTCCCTCCCGCCGGGCTCAAGAGGGGTAAGCCGTTAAACACTTACCTTTCTCCAACGCCGGGCTCCCTCATATAAAAAATCCTGTATATATTGTTATAAATCATTGAGGGATCACATAAGCTTAATTTAACTCTGTTTATTTCCAGCCTACCTAATGGATCCCGAGTGTGCCCAGCTGCTCCCCCATGTTTGTGCCATACTAGTTGACAAAAGTTTACTTGTGTCAGATGACTCCATCTTTCAGAAATTACAGGACTGGTTCAAGTCTTTGGCTAAAACAGGTAACTCCTACATAAGGGATCTTTAGTGACAGATTGTTTGAGGAAATCCCATTGTATCCTGGCAAGACGGTCCTTAAAGGGTTTAATGCACGAGGGTTGTTCCTGTTATCTTGGAGAACTTTTTTGTAGGTCCTCATATGATGTGTAAATGCCGTGCCTGTTTAAATCACACAGTGCTGAATTCTTCATGACAGAACTTCCTAGTCCTTACTTTGTACGCCTTCACTGGGAAAATGATTTTTAGGTGTTATAACACAAATCTTTGTTTTGTTTACCGTATATATATTTCCTTCATTGTCACATGCTTGTTACTGGTAAAAACACATTGTATAATGGCTAGATGAGTGCTTGATATTTTTTGCAGACCTACTTACTGTCTGTTTTTTAATGTTTTTTATCTTTTTGACCTAGTACAAGTTGATCAGTTATTGGAAGAGAATCAATGTATCGTAGGAATACTTGAAAGGGTCTTGAATATGGAATATAAGGATAATAATCTCTATGCATTTACAATGAGACTGACTGGAATTTTGGCAGCCTCTGAAGAGGGCTTTGAGTTTTTGCAGGTAAGTAAACGTGGATAAGAGGTCTTTTAGGCATGTATGTTATCTTTCTTATTTTTCTAACCCATTATATGTGTGTGAAGAAATGCCTATTTTTGGTTAACAAAATGGAGTGCTGATGGAGCGATCATGGTGAGACAGGAAATGTTAGATGTAGTAAAGGAATCTCAGTGAAGTCATTATGAGGATTGGAGTTCTTGGTCGCCTTTTTAGTTTACTGGGTTAAACAGTTTTTGAATGACAGGCCTCCGTTTGTACTACCTCAGTCATTCTCCACGCTGTCCGTAACTCTTCACACATAAAGCATTTTAGAAAGATAATGTACTTTAGGGGTCTGGAGTGTCTCTTTAGGGTCTTTAGGAGTGTTACATTAATACTCACTACTCCAGAGCGCCAGCATTGCAGTAACACACTGCTCCTTGTATACAATATAAAAAAAAAAATATGTAGGTAAGAGACAGAAGTATTTCGGGCTTTGTATGTTTTTGTTTGTTAAGCATTTGATTGTTTTTTGGTTTTTTTCATGGCAAATACAGAAAATATGTTAACATAAATTACTCCTGTGATTAAACTGTGCAAATCCCATGCCAACTCTTGTTAAATTCAAATCCCATGCCAACTCTTGTTAAATCTAAGTGCAGTGACTAAGCCCTAAGCTGATTTGATTATGGTATCATTCTCTGTTCTAGAGGAAAAATATTGTGGAAGATTATTTTGGAGCATTTACATTGACCAGTTTGATCTGGGAGAACATTAATGTGAAAATGGCCTGGATTGACGGGTTGCTTGATATGATCCAGCACAAAATCGCACTTCACTTTTTGCAGACGATTGGTGAGTACAGTGATGTATGAAATGGGTTTTATTGGCCTTCATAAAAAAAAAAAGTGACTGACAAAAGACAGGAAGACACAGTGGCGGAACTACCACAGTCGCAGGGGTCGCAGATGCGACCGGGCCCGTCACTATAGGGGGCCCGGCTGCCCTGCTAATCCCTGCAACCGTGGCCCGCAGAGAGAAGAACTGTGACAGGGGGCCCACCTAGGGCACCACCAAATCGCCGCATGGACTGCGAGGCAGTGTAGGCACCTGCTTACCTTGATGGCAGGTGCCTACTCTGCCGATATGTACCGAGGGGAGGACAGGAGACAGACAGCATTCGACGGTGGCAAGGGAGCACTGATCTGACAGTTCCTTTCTCCTCCCTCGTGCGCCCTCTGTGATGCCAGGAGCTGGAATATGATGTCATTCTGGTCCCGGTTTACTAAACAGCCTGCAGGAGTAGAAAGAAACTGTCACAGCACAGGCCAATTGAAAGGACCCAGACCAGCTCTACCAAAGGTAGGGAGGCTGGATGGGCCTAAAAAAAGTCAAATTAATTTGTGAGAGTGTGTGTGTGCGTGTGTCTGGCAGTGTATTTGTGGCTGTTAGTGTGTGTATGGGTCTGTGTCTGTCAGTGTATGTGTGTCTGTTAGTGTGTCTCTATGTCTCTCAGTGTGTGTCTGTGTCTGTCAGTGAATGTGTCTGTCAGCGTATGTGTGGCTGTTAGTGTGTGTCTGTCAGTGTGTGTGTCTGTCACACACGTGGGTGGGAGAGACACGTGGAGGGGCTGGGGGGGTGAATGAGGCACATGGAGGGGTTGTGGGGTGACAGAGGCACATATGGAGGTGGGAGAGACATGTAGGGACTGGGAGCTGGAGGGTTGGAGAGACACATGGAGGAGCTGGGGGGGGGGGACCCAGGGCAATCTTCACACTGGGGCCTGGTGGTTTCTAGTTACGCCTGTGGGAAGACACCATTAAAGTCATCAACACAGTTTATTTCCAGATGTATTTAAAACTTGCAAATAAACCATGACTAGTACAAAATATTATTTGTGAGATATTTACGTAGACACGACTTAAAGGGTTACACCAACCACCATGACCACTTCAGCTTTTAGAAGTGGTCATGGTAGTAGAAGTTTGTATGTGCAGCATTTCAACTTGACATACTGCACATCCAGAGATATTTGGACTTATGTGCCAGGAGCTAGTTACACCCCCAACAAACATGACTGCCATTAGCATGCACTGGCGACAGACAAGGTCAGATTCTCTCCGTGCAGGTGAAGCTTGCTCTGCTGTGGAGAGGAGCGGTGGGAGGTTTTCCCGTCTATGGATTTTAGGTAAGTTTAACAATTACAATCATGTATTTCATGGCGGAGGGACCTAACGAGTAATGCCTAATAGGGCAACCTAAATTAAATTAAAATATTATTTTGAAAGGGTTGGAGTAGGCCATTAAGCTGTATTCGATTTTACTTTTCGCTCATTAAATGTGATTAGGAATGAGATGTGCAGGAAACAATTTCTTATATCTGGGGAAAAAAATGCACGGTGTTTTATGAAAATTGCAAAAAGAAATGTTTTGCATGTATCTCTCTTTCTTTCATTTTCCTCCTATTAGGAGGCATGCAGGTGATGATAAACCTACAGAAGGACAGCAGCATGTTTGTTGCCTGTGCAGCCAATAACCTAATGGCTCACGCTTTCATTACCAGTACCAAGATAGATGGGGAGCCAGGCATGGCCAATATAACTGATCTGTCAGACAATGCGTGCTTGTTACTGAGTCATCTGGTGCAATCGCTCAGTTCTGGCTGTCCTTCCATTACAAGCCAAGCAATGAAAACGCTGGCGGTGATTTTTAAAGGCTGCACGGATGTATTGGCTGAAATTGTGTGGTGGGACATTATGAACAGTATCAATTCTCTCCTGGACCAGAATCCTGTCCGGAATGTTGTTAATTTAGAAGAGATGCTCCTTACTGCAATCAGGTAAGTAGGAAAAGTAGGGCAGGACAAGAACATGGTTTGCTTTGTAGTTACAACCTTTTGTCTATACTGTATAAAGCTTTTTTAGATAGAAGCTGGCCAGTTACTATTAATACAATTTTGCTCCGGAGCTTAAAACTTCCATGAGAGCTGGACAACTTCCTGACATCTCTCCAGCCAGGTGGAACCTATGTTTGCTTGGAGGAAGACATTACTGGTTTATTCAACCCAATTAATGGTTAATTCAACATTACTTTGACGTCTGCCACCACAGCTGCCAAAATTGAGACTCTGAAATCGTTCTAGTTCTTTGGGTGTTTCCAGTTTTTTTATGGGAGTAGACAGACTGTTTATTCATAAAGTTCAATAAAAAAAAGTGTGTGTGTGTATATATATATATAAAAATCACAATAGTTTCTGGCACTCATCCCATAGCAAAAGCATTAATTCAGCAATGACCAGGTGCCTCTCTGTGCAAAATATACAAATGGAACAAATTGAGAGCACTCATTGGATTTAGTAAACAAAAAAATATATTAAATCAAACGCATATAAATCAACATTTCAGCTTACTACTCTCTTGTCAGTTCACCACACATTTCATTTGTCCGTTTCACATACATCTCCAGCAGCATAGGCGTGCGCACGGGGTGTGCCGGGTGTGCCTGGGCACACCCTAATCCCCGCGCACGCCTATGTATATTGAGACCGGCAGGGGAGATCTCAGGATCTCCCCTGTCGGCTCATGCAGAGCCGACGCTATCCGAGCGCCAGCTCTGCTCTCAGCCTCCCTCCCCACTGACCCACATGCAGGGAGGGAGGCAAGAGAGGACCGGCGGAGCTATTGCCGGCAGCTCCGCCGGGTTCCTCTCGCGAGATATGAGCGTTGCCACGGCAACGCTCAAATCTCGCGAGAGTGAACTCTAGCCCCACAGAGGGCTAGAGTTCACTCTCCACTGGACCACCAGGGATCACAGCAGCAAGGATCCCCTCCTCCACTGGACCACCAGGGAAGGAAGCAGCAGCACGATCCCCCCTCCCTACAAAAGGTAAGAAGGGAGGGGGGAGAGCAAATAATGTACCCCCACAATCACCCACCCACACACATACAGCACCCACACACATTCAGCACCCACAGACATACACAGCACCCACAGACATACACAGCACCCACAGACATACACAGCACCCACAGACATACAGCACCCACAGACATACACACAGCACCCACAGACATACACACAGCACCCACAGACATCAGCACCCACACACATTCAGCACCCACAGACATACACACAGCACCCACAGACATACACAGCACCCACACACATACACAGCACCCACACACATACACAGCACCCACACACATACACAGCACCCACACACATAGCACACAACATACACAGCACCCACACACATACACAGCACAGACCACAGCCCACACACATACACAGCACCCACACACATACAGCACCCACAGACATACACAGCACCCACACACATTCAGCACCCACAAACATACACAGCACCCGCAGACATACACAGCACCCGCAGACATACACAGCACCCACAGACATACACAGCACCAACAGACATACACAGCACCCACACACATACAGCACCCACAGACACACACAGCACTCACAGACATACACAGCACCCACACACATACAGCACCCACAGACATACACAGCACCAACACACATACAGCACCCACACACACATACAGTACCCTCACAAACACACACAGCACCCTCACACACAGCACACAAACAGCACCCTCACACACACACAGCACACTAACAGTACCCTCACAAACACAAACAGGACGCTAACAAACACACACACAGCACACTACCAGTACCCTCACACACAAACAGCACCCTCACACACAATACATTAACAGCACCCTCACAAGCGCACACACACACAAACAGCACCCTCACACACAGTACATTAACAGCATCCTCACAAGCACGCACACACAAACACCCTCACCCACACAGCACACTACCAGCATCGTCACACACACATCACACTAACAGCACCCTCACACAGCACACACACACACACACACACACAGCAGTGTGTGTATGTGTGTATATATGTATATATATATATATATACATACATACATATATATATGCGGCGTGTGCTTGTGCTTTAGGGTGCACACCCTAATGCAATAGGCTGCGCACGCCTATGTCCAGCAGCACACATTTTTTATTCTTGTTACATATTTAGTCCATTCAGATCACATAGACTTTTTGATACAGTTCTTCTTTTTTCCATTTCATACACTATCGTACATCTCACACATTTGACTTCTTTGCAATGCTCCACACATTCACTGAGCTTTTTTTCATTTGTCTAATTTTTTTTTTTTTCCTCCTCTTCTCTTTATTCAGCATGCATACACACATTAACCTGTTCTGGTTAACCTTTGGCTAACCCGTTTTCATTCATACTGCTGTCTTTAACATTCCACACTCATATACATTTAAGACCATGTAATCAGACTTTATTTCTTTTTCCTCCATACATGCTTTTAATTTTACTCCGATTTTTTTCTCTTTTAAAACAACTTTGCCGTTTCTAGGCAACACTTGGTGGCTGTGCTTTATGTCACTTTTCGGCAGTATGCTTGACAGTCCTCTGTTTGCGGCTCTATTCACAGAGCAGACCGGACAAACAGGGTGCACTTGGTGATTGGGTAAGTTTAACACATTAGATTGTATATATTTGAGATTTTCACATGTCATAGCATCTTGATAAAGACCGCTAGACGGTCGAAAAGTTGATTTATATGCGTTTGATTTAATATATTTTTTTGTTTACTAAATCCAATGAGTGCTCTCAATTTGTTCCATTTTTATATATATATATATATATATATATATATATATATATATTGCAATACATACCATCCAGACTTATTTTTTTTAATTAAGCTACAATGATTCTCGGCTTAGATGACTGTTAAAGGAACACTAAAGTGTTAGGAATAGAAACCTGTTATATAGGTGTCTCAACCACTCCCTCCCGTGTTTGCAGTAAAAATAATAAAATAAAGGGTTTTACTTATCTTTTTTATTTTTTTAATTTATTCTTTATTTATCACTCGATAAGAATAACAAGTGTACAATGAACTTTTGGGCTTACACAGAAGCCAACATAAGTAATATTTATGGAAAAACATAATGCGCTTCAGGTGAACCACGTGATACAAATTCTTAAATCCTTTGAGACATGTCTCCCATCGAGGGTTTTTGTATTTTTAAACAGGCATTCAAACAAACATAAGGAGCCCCATCATAACAACTGCTCATTAGCCCTTGGGTTTACTTATTCCTCCATTATTTTGATCATGCCTGGGATAAATTGAAGAAAAACAAAAACATGGAAAGAAATGATAGAGAGTTCAACGGAGGAAAATAGAGATAAAATATAGCCTCAGGAGGAGGTAAAGCGAAGGTACAATCTCTTGGTTTCCATGGCGATTGCCCAACATGTAAAAATTCGACCCACCATTGTTCTTTACGTATCAACGCAGGTGTCTGGAAAATGTTACTCCCTTTAACTCTTATTATAATGATTTAGGAAATATGGAAGTATCTTACGCACAGGTTATGTTGTGTTTTTCTTTCCTGATAGGATTCCTGTCTTTCAAAATCCAAATTGCAACCTGTGGGTCACTGTGAAAAAAGCACTTAAAAATATGCATATGACTCAGTCTATTTCTCTTGCCGCTGAAATCTTAAAGCTGGGTAACTGGTGGGTATTTCCTTTGAATAGTTTCCATATTCCCTGTCTGTTCTCATTCATTTTATATATTTATTAAGGTTTTAGGAGAATTTGAGCTGAATAGCAAACATGTTCTACTTGTATTCCCTGTGATCCTGTTGAATAAAAAAATTAAAATACATTTGTAGACCCATCTCCTCACTGAACGATGACCTGACCAGTCATCACAGAAAAGTCCCAAGTAAAGAGTATGAAAATTAAGGAATAATATATATCTCTTTATTTTAATAAAAAGTAATAATCTGAAGGACAATGTATTCATTAAAGAGCTTTGAAAAGCTTTATGTGAGAAGTGTGTCCTTTTTTGTTTTCATTGTGAAGAAAGTGCAGATTTCAACAGAAATTGACACTTTTTAAAATTTTAACCCGGCTACACCCCCGCTTCCTCCCCTGCAAGGGGAAGTCTGTGATTGGACGGTCGCATAAATTATGGGCGGGGTTAGAAGAGGAGGGCTTGCAACGACTTCAGATAAGAGATCTGCAGCTTTTGCAAACCGTTTTTAGAAAAATCCCAATTAAAAAGTGCATGAATGTTTTGGGGTATAACTACTAAACAGTGATTTTTACATATTTTTTATTTGAGCAGTGGCGTGTCTCTGAATAATGCTATATCCTAAAGTGTTTGTTTCTTGAAAATAGTTTTTTAAAATTCTTGTTTTGTCCAGTCCACAGGATGTCAATCTGCAAGCAATGTCTGTCTTTCTTTATCCATTTCATTATATATTGAAAAGGTCTGCTACTCACTGCGAACATCCAGGTATAATGCAATGTTCTTTCTAAATATTCCTGTTTGATATGTAAGAACCTCGTAACCCTTTGGATATGCATTATGAGTTGTACTTAATATGCTTTTGTTCTGCTGTCCAGATAGAGGTAACTGCATGATATCTACATTCATAGACATTGTAACCTCTCTATCCACATGTCTATTTGAGGTGATAAATGAAAGTGGGGAAAAAAAGTGAATTTATAATATGCTGTTATTTTTGTTGTTGCAAAGTTCTAAAAGTGGAGCAAGCAATAGAAATATTCTGCTTAGGTAAGGTTTTAGTCTGTAAAAAAGTTACCACTGGAAAGAAAAAAAAATGAAGAAAAATGTGTATATATATATTTATAAATTTTTTTTTTTTTTTAATCGAAAAATAAGCAGTCAGATTGATCTTTGGAACAACAAACATGTTACCCTACATATTAACTATTATATCCTTGAATATTTTCTAAAGAAGCATCCATGTGTTGTTTAAATCTGTTGGCACTATATAAATGGCAATAATAATAACAATAATAAAGCGGATCTGTTTCTTCAGGGTGTTTTACATATTTGGCAAATACCCCCAAGGCGACATCTCCAGTGCGGTTCTGGTGGCCTTGGAGTGCAGTGGAACATTTTTAAAAAAATTTTTTATAGCTGAAGCTTTTCCTCGCGGCCATTGCATCTTCCTCCTGGAGATCTTTTTCGGCTCGAGGAGAAATAAAAAACAACAACTTTTTTCTGTTTCAGTCAGGGACTGCATACTAAAAATCTACAATGATCAAAGTCTAAAAATCTAATCTAATCTATACCTGAAAGGGGATCTGCTACCCATAGGAGAGCTTATCATCAATGTGGTTTTATTTTTTTTGTAAATGACCGTTCTACATAAAAAATGGATATAATCATCAAATTTTACATAACGTCACCAAAGACCACAAAGAATACATAATCCAAGCTTAAAAAGTAGAGAAAAATTAAATAACCAAACCATTACTATTTGACAAACATTTATATTCTGAGCCCTACATATTCTTTTTTTTTTTTTTTTTTATAATAGGTGTGGAGAATAACCCATTGTATGAGCCAGTAGACGCGGAGTACGTTATGGCCATGAAATCGTCTTGTATTCCTGTGCTTGGCTTGTGTCTTCGTCAGGTCAGGGAGCTCTGTGAAATGGTAATGTATTTTAATGTAGTTATTCATGTCTGCCACAATTTACACTGAGTCCACTGTAGCAATGTGTTCTGTTCTCTGTTTCTAATAATGAGCTAATTTAGAGATTGTATTATAAGGTTATTTTCCATAACCTTTAATTTCTTCTAGGGGTCTTGTGTTCTATATATATATATATATATATATATATGTATGTAAAAATCAATAAAGTGGAGCACTGCAAAAGTTTATACCTTATGAAAAGATATTCTTCTCGTGTGTATAACATATGACAAATCAAAAGATAATAAAAAAACAAATATAGTGTAGCGTTTTAAACTCAAAAATGTTACAGAAAGTGAATATAATACACTCACATTAAAGGAGCCATTTAGTAATCCTGGCTCCAAGTATTTAAGCAAGGAGTGTTTTTAGGTTAACACTCTCAACCTTCTTATCAATGTAACTCTCAATCCTCACCATGTGGAATTAGGTATGCATAGGGAAAGAAAAATACACATAGGGCATATTGCAGGAAAGAATAATCTTGGATATATATGAATAACACTTACAGAGCCTAGTAATCCTGGCTCTAAGGTATGTTGGCACTGTACCAATATGGGAGGTACTACCCGCAAGTGGCTGCACAATGACAGAGAAGCCAGATGAGGAATGAGGAAAATGTGAAACAAAATACTAAAACAATTTTAAAAACAAATAAAATATGTGTAACACTCCTCCATCCAGCAATCCCCTCCGACGCGTTTCGCTTCCACTGTTTTTACCACAAGCTTTTTCAATCGGTATGACGCCTATCTTGACAATGCTGTATTTATTTCCTGATTCACCATGTGGATTCCCTTTCTAGGGGCAATCATTATGAAGTCCCTTACATACCCCTGATGGGTGCAAATATTTAATGCCTCCCGTTAGTCAGGGGGATAAGGAAAACACTTCCTAAGGGTGTAGTGCTAAAACAGCTTGTCCGTTATCATAAAGATCCACTTAATGTTCGATACAGTCTTAGTTTGCTATTCCTTTTGCCACATTGAATAAATTAGTTTGTATCATAGATCCTACACATTGGTTACACTTTACGAATATATTGAACAGTGTCTTAAAATATTGCAGAGTCCCATAATAACATATGGAAATAGGGGAAACAAAGAATAACAATATATATGCTACGCAAACCGATATCATTATACAAAATAATATTTCACTATTAAAGAGAACAATACTAAATCAATACATATACATTTGCAGAATCTTATTTATATACTTTTTATTATTTAAAGGGACAGTCTTAACTATTTTACTTAAATATCACCTATAATATATATGCATTGAAATATCCCTAGTGACAAGTGGAATGGAATGAAATAAATTAAAATAGGAGTATATGAATACAATTATGTAATTTAAAGGGCCATTACTAAGTTAATTTCAACCTATATAACAAATGAACAAGACTTGATTTCATGGCAGTAAGTTATAAGATCGTCTAAGTCGCCCACTGCACACATTAACACCTGCTTGTTGATGTATTTTATTTTTTACCTGCAGAACAGTATCAAAGTGGAGATGCCTCACCGGCCTGTGCTGAATTCCATTGTGACATTACTGCAGTTCTGCATCGGTCAAGCAGCCAGCGAATTATCTTCAGGGTTGAGTTTCAGCAAGAAAATGATTGGTTGCCTACGAGTGCAAAAGGCAGCGTTGGATGCCATCCAAGCTCTTTCACATTGGACAAGTGAGGGGAAAAAATGATAAATCAGACCCCTAGTGCCATGTATACAGGATACTGTTTGTTATCAGCACTGAAATAATAGAATTCAAGAGAAAGACACTTGGTGACCAATTTGGTTCCTGGTATTTTTGCTTAGTAATGGTTGCTACACAAAAATGGTATTTACTTGGGAACCCAGTTAGTCACCATGTCCATGCGTACTTTGCCCTGATTTGTTTAGTGAGCTAAGGATTATACACATATGGGATTGGGGTGCAGTATAGAAATCCTGCCCACTTTTCTTAAACATACATAAAATAATCATTAAATTACAACTACAGATATATAATCTAGTTATATTTAATGGCATATGGAAAAAAAAAAAGTTTAATTTGCTAGATTTTCCCTGACAACTAACCATATACTGCTCTTTCTTCTTAATTAGTGAATAAAGAGTCCCTAGAACAAACATACAATGTGCTGTTTGCCTATCTCGAGAATAGTGGCTCGGATGTAACGGTAAGAATAAGTCTGTCTTTTGCACACAGTTCTATTTCTATATGTGCAGCCTGGTACAGTGTACTTCTCTCGTGTCTACATGTTGGTGTTGATGACTGTGCTTGCAAATCTAGTAACCATGGGCTATAGCATAATTTAAGTACTGAAAACTAATATGCTAAAGTCAGTGAACATGCTTTCTAATAGCCAAGACCTAATACTATGGCTCTGTTACACCAGGCACTGTATATTTAGGAATGCATCTGGTAAACAGTTATTCATGTTATGTAGGGTTGTTGTTGTTGCATCACGTTAACTCTTTTTTAGCCAAAAGGAATTTGGGAGTCATTGTGACGGGGAATATACCTTATAACTATACACAGGAATCCCCAAAAATACATCAGGAAGAAATCATAGAAAAAAACGCATATTTATTGAAGTATAAAATGAAAATACATATGGCATGATACTAGAACAGCAGTCTTCGTGTATGCTATATTGGTCCAAGCATGTAAAATTGAAAAAAAAAGGTTGTAAGTGAAGAAAGTATAAAAAGTCCAAAACCTGAGCATAGGACCACCCGCAGCTGCTGTACAGTGGGGAGACCACCAAAGGAGCCGACCCTAAAGAAAGATTAGAGAAGCCCCACTCCGGGTGCTTTCTCAACTTTCTGCCGTTTTACCATACCTTATAACCATCCCTCTGTTCTAGGAGCTCACACTTTTTTGTTAGTACAATTAAATCACATCGCTCCACAGTCATAAATGCTGCTACTACAGTAAATGTGTTAAAAGGACTTTCCTGGCATTCTCTGCTCAACAACACAACTGAAGTGCATTTGATCGATTTTGGCCACATATTCATGCTTTTTTTTTTTTTTTATCTCATCAGTGTTGATATACAAAGAAAGAAAAAGGTTTTGCAGCTTTCTGCAACTTAACCCTGCAACTTTAGCCATGCAGTAGTCGTACATATAGGTAATATAGAATGATTGATATACCCATGGCACAGTAAATAACTCTGCAGCATTGCTATGTCTAGCACATGTCCTACTGCAGTGTATAACTTAAAATGTGCGTTCTTAAAGGAGCCATGTATCTTTCACACATCAGTATCATGTATTGAATCCTTTTGTATACCTGTTAGTAACTTTTTAACCAATATTTTTTGCCACTTAGATTATAAAGAAGACTCTCCAGGCCTTATTGAAATGGCTGCGGGTGTCTTCAGAGCCAGAACACAATGAGTCCTGGGAGCACAGCATTATTTTTCTAAACAGTATGTAGTTCCTTTGTATTCACTATGATATGTAGGATCATTTTCTTCTACTATAAATTTTTATTGTTATTTTTTTTTTCTAATGGAATAAGCAGTATGTAGAAAATAGTTCTATATGTTAGCAGCTCAGTGGTTTAGCTTTACGAGGGTGAATGTAACCTATAAGGAGAGCGTTTGATAATCTCTGTTATAGAAAAGAGCTGAGATCTTGATTATTGATAAATAAAAAGGGCTATGGTGAGTTCTAAAGGGAGGCCTATGAGGCACTATAGCGTTAGGAATACAAACCTCTGTCCGTGCATCTTTATAATTACCCCCCCTTCACATGCAAAAAATTAAGAAAAAAAGGTTTAACTAACCTTTTTTCCAGCGCCTTATGCACTTCGTACTGCTGCCCACTTTGATTTCCATGACGTCACAGTGGGAGGCATTACGTCTGGGATTCCTCTCCAATCTAATACTCCCCAGAGAGGAGCATTGGGGTCAAGGTGGCGTGAGTGGAAGCCTAATCAAATGCTTCTCATAGGAGAGCATTGAATTCAATGCTTTCCTATAAGCTGCGTTTAATCACATGGCCAAGTTTCACTTGATCTTTGCTGTGGAATGACCTCTAGTGGCTGTTTGTGAGCCACTAGAGGTGTGTTAACCCTGCAATGCAAACATTGCCATCTCTAAAAAAACTGTTACAGGACCACAAAAGTCACCCAGACCATTTCATCTCAATTAAGTGTTCTGAGTGCAGTGGCCCTGTAGTTTTAACCCTACAATGTAAAACACTGCAGGGTTAAAACTACAGTGCCACTGCACCCAGAACACTTCATTGAGATGAAATGGTCTGGGTGACCTTTGTGGTCCTTTAACAGTGAGCCCCAATTTTCATCAATTTTGTCACCCTTCGGAGACAGGTGCATTTATATGATAAGTAGCTCTTTGAGAGTCTACGCATGGGGGCAGGAGTCAAACTGTTTTGGAGTGTGCTAGGACTGCTTCCTACTTTTTTCACTATTTCAGACAGGTTTCTGCCGGAGCTAAGCCCAGTGGTGCAGCGCTTAGCTCATTGGATGAAAGTGATCAATTGATTCTCTCTACCAATGCGCTAACCATGCATTGCATGTTGTAGCCCAGGGGCACTAACAGAATCTTTAACTTAGGAGCTTCTCACTCTCCATGAGAAGTATTGGAGGCCAGGAGCGGTGTCTGGCAAACATCAGATAAGAAGTAGAACTATTCCTTACAATAAGGGGGGGGAGGTGTCGAGGGGACTCCTGGTACCATAACCACTACAGAACACCAAAGTACTGAGCTGCTGAAATGTCAATTTTTGGAGATAGAATAATGTCAAGAGTAATTTTCTTATAAGGGGGTGAGTGAAAAAGAAAGGTGACAGTGGTGATGGAGAAAGATAAATGTATTGCGATAACATAACAAACTTAATGTGCAATCTGTCAGGATGAAAGATTTCAGAAGCTGATAAAAAGATGTGCAAATATTGTACATCTAATTATCGTAATCCAGAAAATAGTTCCAATGGAGGCACATGCAAACTATCTTTATGTGTACCCCATGGTCAGATCCCCTTGTGTATCTCCTCCCTGAAAGTAGGAGGTTCCTTCCAGAGGGATCAAGACATTTGCAGCACTGAGCAATACCTTAGGTGTTCATTTTTTAAATGTTTTTAGAGCTAGTGTATTGTGAAAAAGGAGAACAAGGGGAGGTGTAATGGGAGGGGGATTGTTAAGTAGAATGAGTTCCATTTGTGTTGTCTGCATGATCTCTTTAACCCCTCAAGGACCTGTCATGATTCCCTTTTATTCCAGAAGTTTGGTCCTTAAGGGGTTAAAGGCAAGAAAGTTGTTGTTTTTTACAGTTTTGTATAAACAGTTTTGTAAGCCTACTTATATTTTCTTCTACTCTCCTGGTTAATAAAATAATTTCTTTATCATATTAAAAATAAATTGTGGATTTATTTTCCAGCCCTGTGGCCTTTAATAGTAAAACGCCTTTGCAGCCCAAACTGGGAACACCGTGACACAATGCTAGAATTTGCTGCAGAACTTGTAGACACCCTCCAAGGTAACTCATGTTTAATATTAAAATTAGCTTTGATAAATACTGTTACACAAATTTCTGTTGTCATTCTCCTTAAAGGAACACTCCAAGAACCATAACTACTGCAACCCACTGTAAGATATCAAATGTTTTTCATGTTGTGACCAAGTGTACTCTTCAGCCTAAATTGGTAGAAAACATTCCTAAGCCTGTTTCATAAGAGTTCTATACCTGCTTGCCGCTTCGCTTATATGAAACAAACTGTATTATCTAATTTTAATTCTTTGTTGTACTTTTATAGACCAAGAGAGTTTCAAACAAGCTATTAGTGCTTCAGGTGTTCCTCAACTGGTCTTGGATCTGCTAAAGGATCCAGAGAGTTATGTTCGATCAAGTGCTGTGAGCTGCTTGGGAAGGCTAGTTACTATTGATAACCTGCACCTAAGATTGGAAGACGCAATGTCTACAGAAACATTGAAAAGAGAGGTAACTGTTAAACACTTACACGTGTAATCTTTATTTTCAGCTATAGCTTGCTCTTCCTGGTAACATCATACATTATAATGGCACCATGTATACTCCAAAAAGGTAACATATACAAAATGACCTATGTATGCCATGCCTCGGTACTCCCTTTCCTTTTGCAAAAGTGTTATTCTTACTTTGACAGAATTCAAATTCTAAAATAAAATTTAAAAAGTGAGAAAAAATGTAAGTGATGCACCATTTAAAGGAACACTATAGGGTCAGGGACACAAACATGTATTCCTCACCCTGTAGTGTTAAAACAGCCATTTAGGTGGCTTGCCATCCCCCCCCCCCCCTAGAAGGGGTTAAAACTTACCTTATTTCCAGTGCTGGTAAAGGTCCGCCAGCGCTGACCCGATCGCGATCCGCCTCCTTGGTGACATCATACGAATTACTGTTTTTAGCCAATCCAATGCTTTCCATAGGGAAAGCATTGGATTGGCTGAAATCAGGAAGGAGGTGGGGTGGGGCCAAACACCGTTTTGGCCAATCAGCACTTCCTTATTGAATCAATACATCTCTATGAGGAAAATTCAGCGTCTCCATGCAGAGGGTGGAGATGCTGAATGGCAGTGCTGCTCACTGTGCACCACTGCCCCAGGAAGCACCTCCAGTGGCCACCTGACAAGTGGTCACAGGAGGTATCCCTAGTGGACAATGTAAACACTGCCTTTTCTATGAAAAGGCAGTGATGGCATGAAAATGACTGGGGGTAATGATTATACTCACCAGAATAACTACATTAAGCTGTAGTTGTTCTGGTGACAATAGTAACCATTTACATATTTATAAGACTACATCCTTAAGGAACAGCGATGGAATAATTCCATACCAACCTTCAACGATTCTATAGAAGAATCAAATGTCTTACTCATTTAATGGTGTTGTGGCACTGTTGTGAAAACTTTTATTTATATAAACAGGGCATTTCATACTGGCATAGGGTTTTAGGATTAACCTTGAGATTACAGCATGAAATATTGGTTCTAAATGTGTAAAAGTGAGGTTCTCCAAAACTATAACGTATTGACCAATTGCCCCCCTTTTGGTTGTTTCTAAGCTAGTTTTGTTCTCTTACTACTCTAACCATACTTACATTAATCCTATCCTTATCCGCATATGTAACCACATCCTTTTAATTTAAAAGCAAACTACTGGTACAAAAAGGTTTATTCCTTTAGTTACTAATTACGCTTTGTATTGTTTATTTTTTCCCCTCCATATATCTTAACAGATCCTTGTGCCAAACTTCCTGAATATTTTATCTGAAGATACCGATGCTTTTCCCAGAAGAGCTGTAATGAAGGTATTTGTTGAATGGCAAAAGTTGGACTATATCCAGACCTTTCATGAACCAGAGAAGCTGCTTTTCAGGATCCTGCATGTGGCAAAGGAAGACTGTGACTGGGAGGTGAAAGTTAATGCTCTTGAACTGGCCAATATCTTTGTAGATAAAACATTTGAAACACGTGTTGCTAACAGTTGTCCGTACACAGTAGGGTTACCTACTAACACAAGAGTGTCTGGAATATCTGAAATGGTTAAAAGATGTGATCAAGTAGGGCTTTTTCCATGTCTGTTGGATGCCCTTTGTGACTGTGATAGGATGGTGGCATTGAAAGCCTGTGAAATTCTCTTGTCCTTGAAGTCAAAGTTGGATGGTAAAGACACTTGCTCCAGTAATTCAGAACTGAATGGCATAGAATGGCTGGAGGGTAATTTGAGGAACTGGCGCCTTCAAAGCCAACATGGAGCACTTACACTTGATGCACAAGACAAGACCTGGGCAAGAGACATCCTTAACAAAATAGATTTGGTTAGCATAGAGAGTTCTCTATCAATGGGTAGTAGTTATAGTGACCAAACACCGCAGTCCCTGCTACAGGATATTCAAACTGCATTGTGGGGAGGGGATGAACAAGATGCTGATTGTTATTAACCTTTGGATGTCCAACATCAATCTTTGTATTTCTCTAGTCCAAAAGGCATTTATAGCTACAGGTGTCACTGCCAGTTTTAAGTCCTTCTATATATACACGTCATGCATACACCACAAATATGGCCCCTGAAAACGATGTGTACACACTCTTTGTTTCTTCCTTAATTAAGTGGCCCATTCTCACAATACTTAGTATGTGGCTAGTTATATGGGATGCCATGTCAACTGTGGTTACCATCCTGAAGAAGGTAAAAGCTAGTTTTAGTTAGTTGCATTTCTATAATTTGTCTATTTTCTGTTTGTGTATATAAAATTGCCTTTTTATTATGTATTTTTGCAAGTACGATTTTTTTTTTTTTTTAGTTACCATACTTTCTATGGTTTGAGGAGAGTATGAATAAATACATTAAATATGACCAAAACTGATGTTCATTTATGAGCAGGTTATGTATTCAAGATGTAAATAATACATTTTACTTTCTTTCATTGTAAACTCCCAACAGAAATACATTTTCTTTTTATATATAATTTGGAGTTGCTATAAATCAGTCCACCCCCTCCCCCCACGTTTAGGAACAGTACAGTAGGGATTTATATCTTTCTATGGGCAGGGAACATCCTCTATAAAAACAGTTTGACAATTAGTTGTTCCACCCCCTTTAACTCCTTAAGGACACATGACATGTGTGACATGTCATGATTCCCTTTTATTCCAGAAGTTTGGTCCTTAAGGGGTTAAAAACCTTCACATCAGAAGGCTCTCCAATTCTTTCATATCCTACGAGTGGGACCGTTGAGTTTTTGCCTCCAGAAATTTAGTATTGCAGTGCTGAGGTGGTGGTAGGCACTGCTTGCTACATGGGGTCATCCAACACCAAAAAGCTATCATGGGCAATGAGCTTGCTTTGTGGCCTGGATGGTGGAGTTACTCATATCTGTGTGATTTTCTTTCTGATAGAGTAATTTTAGAGGTCTAGCCATAAATATCCATAAAAAATGGACAAATGGGAGTAAAGCCAACATGCTCGAGCAAAATTAAGAGCCTCCTGCAAATCTAAGCACTTGGCATGTGCATAATGTGCTATGCCACTTTTTGGAGGGTGCAGAAAAAAAGCTGTGCAATGCGTTCTCTCAGGGAGCAATAAAAAAAAAAAAAAATCTCTCAAACCTTTGCTAACTTTAATGAGGATAATTTTAAAGCTGGAGAACATGATACTGCTGTTTAGAAAGAAGAGACGCAGAACTACATTTACACCTTAATTGTTCTTAGGATAATTTTTTTGGGGACATCTAGCAATGGTACCGAACAGGAAACCGGTTTTCCTATGGAGGAGTTTAATAAATTTACTAAAAAGATGTCTTCAAGATTGTACACGAAAAAACAAACATTCAGATCCAAGCAATTAAAACAGCTTTTTAAACTTCAGGAAGCAGAATCTTGGAAATAACTCCCAAAAGTTGATATGCCCATTGCCAACATTCACAATTCCTATCGGGGAAGAAAACGGGTTAAAGTTAAAATCCCACTGGATAAGTGGGCAGAAATTCCCTTCAGGTGTATCTTCCAAACCTCTGTGTTACTTTAGCAGAGTTGCCGTCGTAGGAGCTTCAGTTGCAAGAACTCAAAACGCCTGCCTACAAGCTCTAGAAGACTTCTCCCAGGAAAATCTACTCTGAACCCAGCTTGTTTATTTAGAAACATCAGACTAGCCCATGACTAAGTCTGTGAAATGACGATTGAATAATTGAAATTGGATGCAACAAACAGTCTCTCCTCCATTGCTCGTAGAGCAATATGGCAGAAAGCGTGGTCTACTGCCACCACATCAAAATGAGCCTTGTGTGAACTTCCTTTGAATAGGAAAACTTATTAGGGTGTGCATAAAAAGATGTTATCGAGCAGATTTCCCAGACTAAAAAGCCTCTCCCACAACAAAAAAGAACCAGATGCTTCTATGATTACCACAGCCAAAATGGTATGTGAAATGTAGGCACTTTCTTCGGCACTAGAATTTACAGACTTCCATTAAGACAAAATAGTTTTATTTCCCATACCATCATTTCGTCCTAAGGTTTGTTCAAGGACAACAGACACTTTTCTTACCAACCTTCTGTCAAAATACATCTTTACTTAAAGATGATGATTTTCCCTGTCTGGACGTCAAAAGAATATTATCCATCTGTCAAGGTTTTAAGAATAAAGAAATCTCATCATCAATTTATAAGGAAAATCAAAAGGATCAACAGACTTCCAAGTCTTCAATGCCAGATAGATTATGGAAAATAATCGATGAACCAACTGCGTTCAAGGAAAACCCCTTTCAGAAAACATTAAAGCTCGTTCCACTAGACTCGCAGGGGTAGGTAACATTCGGCATTCCAGATGTTGTGGACTATATCTCCCATAACGCTCTTTCACCCATAATGCTGGCAAAGCATCAGGGAACATGTAGTCAATAACATCTGGAGTGCTGAAGGTGGCCTGCGGCGAGAGCTATGGCTACATCTTGGGCAGAAAAGGCTGTGGCTACTCCTTAAGACATATGTAAAAGCTACTACTTGGTCATCTTTTAATACATTTATTCAGCACTACCGGCTAGACATCTTGGCCTCAGCGGAAATATCCTTTGGGTGCAACTTGTCCATTGAACATCCCTACTGTACTGCCACTAATACCAAGGAAATAATTTACTGTGCGTAAAAGTTGTTTTGTCCTTCATACTGTACAAAGAAGCATTTAGTACCATAGACTTTATATAATCATACAGGTTAAATAATATCCATCAAGGTGAACCTGTTCCTGGTTTCTATTCAAAAGTCAGCAAGTTATTAATATATCCCATTTAAAAGAAGGTCCTGGTTTTGCCAAATAATGAAGATATACTATATATCGGAGGGAAAACCAAACCACCTCTAGGCAGATATTGACAATTCTAAATTCTGGCTGTAAACAATTTCCTCTGCTGCCTCCACTGATAACCTGTTTTCCCTTGTACCGTCCTGTTTATAAATGGTCGTCTTTTTCTCTTCTTTTGGATGCCCCTGCAAGAAACTTCTATTAGCTTATCCCTGCAGTGTAAAACACGCTCAGCTAATGAGCTAATCTCTGCATTGTCAGATTTAGCTCAGTGCAGGGAGCTACATACCAGAGAAGAAGAAATGACAGTAGGAATCATGCAGACCCCAGGTAAGTTGGCAAGCGGTTTAACTACTTACCCTGATAGAGCTCTCCAGGCACCATAACCCTACCCAACTACACACAGAAAGGATTAGGCAAAACACTATCACAGTTGTTAAAAAAAAGTCAACCCATCAATTTCTCTAGAAAGACAGTTCCTTTTTGACACAACAAAAATTCCCATCACAACCCAGGACACATCGGTGGAAATCTGAAAATAACCTTCCTTCACATTCACCAAACAAAATAAATGATTGTGAAGTTTCAGTTACAGACCTAACATTCTACATGTATTGATCAATGTTATGTCTCATATTTTCTTCTATTTTCTGTTGTCCCCAGTTACAATGGGTACCTGGCCAGAATTTTATTGGACACCCGAATATGATAATGTGAAATTATTGTGTACGGTATTTTCCTATTTTTTTTAAATAAGGAGTTGAAGCCCCAGTTATAAAATAGCACCCAAGAGTGTTTGAACATTTTTCATGAAATGTAAGCTTCTTTAAACCTGTCCTGTTTGGCAGTGGTAATTTGCTTTTTAGTTTCTTTGCAAAAGATTTAAAGTTTTTAATAGACGTATTACATACAGGTCATGGAAGATACAAGTTTTGTAAATTTGTCCTTTGGCAAGTTCTACAGTGCTCGTTTAAATACATTTAAAAAAAAGAAAAAAGAAAAAAAATGTCAGGACCACCAGTAACTGACGGAAAAACTAATGTCCAATGCTCTGACATAGTGCCACCATTGTACTGGGATGAAGAGGATCTGACCCGGTGATAGAATGCAGTCATGATACTTGGATTGTGCAAATTTAGGGAACTTGTCCAGGTCGGGATTTTCAATATCAACCTACAAAAGATTTCAAAAAATAAAAATAAAATACATTTACATGTGCAGATTACACACCAGGGAATAAGGTCATGAGAGCCAACCCTGAAATGCAGACTGCTTTTCCCATAATTCTCAGCCAACCACAATGGTAAACGTGGTCCTCAAAACCCACAATGCCAGGGCTGGCTATTACTAGGGTTGAAGCACTGAATAAGGTTTACTCACCTGACTGGTGTTGTGAAGAAGTGAACTTTCAAATGGATATAAGTTTTCGGTTTCACTCACTGAATAGAGTCTGATATACTTCCTTCCCACAATCTGTAGAAATGAACACATATTTTGATTACAGGTGACACACTGGCTTGCAATCTTTATCTATTGTTTATTTTGTATCAGTTTTTACTCTATTTTCTTCCAAACCATTGAAGGAGGAAAATTACATTTAAGGGGACAAAAGGGAACTTCACTCTTATTTTTAAGTTACATTATTAAAGTGGATCTGTCAGATAATAACAAAGTCAACCTTACACAGTTTATGGAAGCATGTGTGATGTTTTCACTCCCTGTAAGGATTAAATAGATAAGGCATAAGAGATATCTGAATGTTAAAGAGTGCAGATAAGCTGTTTATAATCACTCCAGATTTATCTGCACGTTAAAGTCAATTTTACTTTAATGTGACTTCAACACCCAAAAGGACTTCATATACCACTAAGAAAACATTATCAAAGTTAACAATGCACACAAGCACTGCCTACAACTCACCCTATGTAATGACAAACACTTCTTGATTAATTAAGAAAATCAAATAAAGCATTGGTAAGACTGATAACACAACAAATATGTATGCCCACAATACCCATAAATGTCTACTTTTGGGATTTGACAGGTTGATGTTGCAGGAGGAGGAGTGGGTGGCAATTGAAACTGAGGGCAAAACCAAGATAGGCCTCAAATTAATATTTTGGATAAGCTTCTTAAATTGAGTATTTTGAAATATATTGATACATATCACCTTTGTGCATGTGTCACAATTTGGAAAATCCAGCTAATATAACACATTACACAAGATCTTCTATAAAGAAAGGTTTTCACACATGCATGAGAGTACAATTAAAATGGAGTTCGAAATAAACTCCTTGGAGACAAAGATGCCAAAAGTTCAAGAAATAAGATGTCACCAATGGATGTATTTCTGGTGTGATTAAATGTCTTCAATCTTTTCATTGTACAGGTTATTGGATTCATCATGCCTGTCACTTGTTTGGGTTTCTTCACAAAATACAAATACCCTCTTATTCCTCTTTTTGTAGACTTTTTGTGTAACCATTGCAGCTATGGGACACACCTGTGCTAAGAAGTTCTGTTGGGGGTCTTGATGAAGCGGGGACACTGTTCCTGCTGGACCAAACCAAGCATTGATGGTAATGTCATCTTCATCCCCGTCACCCAGGCAGCAATAATCTGGAATGCTTATGTCTTCTTTCAGTTCATGGATCTTTACAATTTCCATGCAAAAAAAAAGACAAAATTAGAATATTTTTATTTTAAATATTTACGTTTTTAAAACCCATCTCCCAGAATACTCCAAAGTCTTCAGTTCAGTACCTGTCCGCTCTGCCCCCTCTTCCATTTGAGATATATCAGTCGCTCCACATTCACAAAACAGAGTGAAAAAAAAAGGTCTACCTCTTTTACACTCCGTTTTGTCATTGGAGACCTACCGAAAGGCTGACAGCATCAGCTGACATGTGATTGGCAATTTGCCATGCATGCACACTAGCTTTCCCAAGCACTAGATTGGCTGAAATCATCAATCTTGATAAATTCAGCCAGGGGGCAGTATAACATTATGAAGACCGGCATGGTGAAGGATCAAAGGGCTGTCACTTAATGGTTAGTAGGATACTAATAGCATTAGGAACGTGTTTGTATTCCCAACGCTATAGTGTTCCTTTAACTCCTAAATGGCAGAGAAATGAGCAGTGACATTGCAGGAGCATAATCTATACACCAAAACTGCTTCATTTAGCCAGTTATTTTGTTGCTTATCTTTCACAGGAACACAATAGCCTCAGCCTGAGATGTTGGTTCAAACTAGATTTTTTTTATTTTAATAAATATAATTAAGAAATTGGTATTAAATGCCTGTGTGTATTAAGGACTATACATTCTCTTGTATGTAAATAGTAACAACTAGCACCCATGCACAAGAATAAGATTGGTAAAGGGGTAAACAAATTTATAAGCCAATATGGGTGTTGGAATAGCAGAATATAGGGATACACAAGCCTATCTTCATCTCCCAAGACAGACGTGTTTACAGCACAGCAATAAGCTTCAGTACCATACCTCCTATTACATATAAATTGCCTCCCTACCTCCAATCATTATTTAAACGTAAACCTAATCAAACTCCCAGTTACCTGGTCAAATAGTTGATGCTGAGCGAGATATCCTGTGCAGCCTTGCTTTTAGAAAATAAGAAGGAGAGATTATTAGTCACAAAATGAAAGCAAAAAAACCCAAACACAAAACTTCTCTATATAGACAAATATATATTGTAAAATAATCAAAAAAAGTATATAATTAATTTGTACATGTATGTATATGTTATTGATATTACTGTTATCTTATTTTGATATGTATTTTAAAATTCAGTTTGTGATGTCATTTTGGCGGGAATATTCAAATTCCAGTACATTTAGTAAACCCTATATAAAGCATTGTTAGTCAGGTTACGGTTTTTACTATATTCTACTTGAAGAAGCCTGTTGTGGGCGAAACGCGTTTAGAATTTGTTTTAATATTTTTTATATTGTCATAATAAAGGAATTTTGGCCTCAAATATTTTGCCACATTCCTGTTTTTTTACTTAATTTTATTCTTGTACCTGACTAACTTGAACCAACACGAATTTACGGAAAAATCCTTAGGTGGGGATTATACCACCCATACGCTAAAAATTGAGCAGAGAGGACTGCTCAATATATTGTGAGTACATTTCATACTTTTCTTTTTATTTACATTCATATTATACAGTGAGCACTATATATTTTATCTGCTTTAATTTTCGGTCGGAATCCTCGGTGCACCACCTATTTTGCAAGTTACTGCTCCATATATCCTTATATCATTCCACTTCACGCACTTCATACCAGAGCTGGATTTTAGCTCTGGAAATTGTGAGTAATTCCAGTTTATTGCATATATATTCATCTATACCTACATACTGTACCATTGGTTGTCCTTTTTACTTTTCTCCACATATGGCTCATTGAAAATACAAGTCATCATCAGGGGCGAAACCACTTCATTACGCTACAAAGAACATTCCTCATTTATCTGTGGACTATTACCTTGGACTTTTTTTATCCTAATTTCTATTTTATTGTACTTTTTAGTTATATATTTATGCCCTATTTCCTTTGTTTTTCCGTTTCTCATTAAAATATATATTGTAACTTTTTCCTATTCCAAAAACATGACCAGAATGAAACAAGAAAATCACTCTCTCTAATATGGTATACGCTGATGAGATTGTTTCCCCAATATCATGGTTTCACTTAGGATGCTTTTTGCCAGATCTATTAAATCAGTTGAAAAGAAAATAAATCTATTCATTGATATAAACGGACAGTTGATAAATGTTTACATTAGATACATTTTTCCCTTCACCAAAATGCTTGGACAGATGCCCTTTATCTATTTTAAATGTGTATTTCTACATATTGGTGTACTGTTGGAACACTGTCAATATTCCAAATCTAGCAGTTTGCCCCTGACTCACTAAGTGTATAATCCTAATGAGCATGGTTAAGTGTCCTTACTTTATATGGGGGTGTATGATTTGTAAATGTTGTTTGTGGTGTTTAGAATTATTGTAATTTCAGTGAAAGAGAGGTTTTGAGCTCATTTAAATCTGAATACTGGTCTGTAAAATTACCAAACCACACGGGATTAATGCTTTAGGAGGAGGTGTACAAATATCCTTCTATTGTATATTCCTAACGCTATAGTGTCCTGACACCTATTTAGGTCTCCCCAATGTGTGAGGGTTTGAAAGGCAAGAGTACTTACCTTTAAGCCCTCACTGTGCCGGTCACCACTATCATGCTCCGCCTCTTTGACTGAAATCGTCAGTGTAGATTATCTCAGCCAATCCAATGTATCTCCATAGAGAAATATTGGAATGCTAGTGCGCATGCGTGGCAAAATGGTCTCTATATGACGGATTCGATAGGCCTGTTTAAGTAATTGGGGTAGAAGCACCTCTAGAGGCAGGTTAGCTCTGCAAAACGGCAATGTTTTCAGTTGCAGTGTTAGACATGGATGACACCAAGACCACTTCATTGAGCTAAGATGCTCTTGGTGCCTATAGTGTACATTAAAAGTGAACTATTAACACTTGTGGATATGCTTCTAAAATCAAATATTCTGATTTGGTTTTTATTGCCTTAAGGGTATTTAGAAATCATTTTGAGAACACATACCTGATTTAATATGTATTTGCTGATAAACTCATTTATAGTCATTAATTTCTGTGACCAATCTACATCTGTGTATCTGGATCCCAACTCCACTGGAACAGTTCGACATCCTGCAACTCTCTGAATGTAATCCACACTGTTGCAAGAAAAATAGAATATCTTTTGTACTGCTAAAAATAAACAGTGAAGCTTTTTGTACATTGCGTATTGCCAAGGAATTGACCAATCAGAGGCTTCTCATTGAGAAGGCTCTGTGCTGGAGTCACAAGTGCATGAGTGACAGCCAAAGAGGCATTTTGGCATCCATTTATAAAAGTGCGAATTTCTATTTAAACTGGCACTTTTGTAAACTGTTGAAAAAAAATGTCAGACTCTTGGCACACACAGCACTTCAGCAAACTCAAGTGATTTAATGGGACATTATAGTCACCAAAACAAGCTAAATGAAGCAGTTAGTGTATAGAACATGCCCCATGCATTCTCACTGCTCAATTCTCTGCCATTCAGGAGTTAAATCACTTTTATGAAGCCCTAGTCACTGCTCCCTGCGGACAGAGATCTTATGTTTACACTTGCTTTATTGCAAATTCTGTTTAATTCAGAATTTGTTATCTTCTGCACTGATAATAGCTTGCTAGACATTGCAGGGGACTCCTGTATTATACATTTACAGAGCAAAAGATAAAAACCTTCTAAAGTAAGTCAACATCGGATTGAAAATAAAACGATTTTTTTCATGCAAGCTGTGTGAGTCACTGCAAAAGGCTTGTGATTAAGGCGGCATAAAAAGAAACAAAAGTGATTTAAAGGAACACTATAGGATTAGGAATACATCTTTGTGTTCCTGGCCCTATAGTGTTAAATACACCATCTAGTCCCCCCACTCACCCTTGCTCCCCTAAATATAGTAAAATCTTATATTTTCTCCAGTCTGTTGCTGCTGGCTCTGCCCCTCATCTGCCTGCTTGGCTGACATCCTCAGAAGTGTTGATCAAAGCCAATCAGGATTGGCTAAGATTGCCAAGGAGGCAGATCAGGGGCAGAGCCAGCACAAGCCAAACACAGCCTTGGCTTCTGAATCAATGCATTGCCAAGAGGAAAGTTCTGCGTCTCCGTGCAGAGGGTGGAGGCACTGACTGTCAGTGCCGCACAGTGTGCACCACTGCCCTAGGAAGCACCTCTAGCAGCCATATGAGGAGAGGCCAGTGGAGGTATCCCTAGGCTGTAGTGTAAACACTGCCGTTTCGTTTTACACAAAAACTGCTTCATTACGCTGCAGTTGTATTTGTGACTAAAAGCGTCCCTTTAAGGAACACTCCAGGCACCATAACTACAGGATTTTTTAATGGTTATGGTGCCATGAGTGCTCTGGCATCCACACACTGTAATTAGTCAAATCATTATATAATTATTTTGCTTCTTATCTGGGTATGCTAGGTGCCGCTCCCTACCTCCACTGCCTCAGACAGAGAGCTGTAAGCACCACAGTCATGCCCAGCACTCTCAGCTAATCACCGATGTCTGGGTTGGAAGAAATCACTGATAATGTAGCAGTGTTCATTTCACACTGGACAATTCTTGGTTAAAATCAAACTGTTGATTGTTCCTTAACAGCTTGATATTAAAGCGATAGATCGAGACACAGTAGTAGTAGCAAGGTGCAGTGGTAACGTTAAGTTTGAAAAGTGTCTAATGTACTTTTAATGTTCCAGCATCTTTAGAAATGTATGCTGTTAATCGCTATTGAATATGGCTTGACAAAGACCATGTTTGGACTACATATTGCAGGAACTCTAAGATACAAGCAAAGTTAGTACATCAAATCTGAAACGTGACTTTTGAAGCAGAGAAATATCTTACCTCCATTTTTTCATACAGGGCCAATGGTCAATGATGCCCTCTAGAATAACCGGCTGCTGTGTAACCAAGTAATTTGCTTTGAAATGCTCCAAAGATGGACAGAGGAGCTTCGGGATTGTACTTTGTAACTCCAGAATAGGTGTGAGAGGGCGAGGCATAGTCTGTAAACAAGGTTTTTTAAAAATTAAAAAAAAATATATATATACCTTACTATAGCAACTGTCTTGAAATTAAATGTTCTACTAAGCTAAATTTTAGGGGAGGTGTTTTTTTTTTTTTTTTTTTTTAAATGTAATTACATATAGTTTATAAATATTTCCTCTGAGCTTTATCTGTTCATTAATCCATGAGTAATGGTAAGTAGACTACTGAGTGGACAAATTAAGAAAAAAAATTGGGGCGGAGCTTGACTGCCATGCGGATCGGACGTGTTCAGCAACAGCTCCCACGACTGGACTTAAATATTGGGGACTATACCCGGTCCACTTAAACGTATTGCCCGCTACCAGCAGTTATCTTAATTATCTGAATTGCCCAACTTGAGGCTTGCAGCCTACTCGCATTGGAGCTGTGGGGAGACAGCCGCTCTCCCGGCTCAAAAGACGATCAGGTTGTCCCCACCTAACGCTACCCAGCCCACGTGCCCTGCTCGGCTACCAGCAGCCTACTCAGCGCGGCTACCCAACGTCACAGGCAGCGAAGTAACACTGGGAGCTGTGGCTACTCCCATTCTGAGAAGGACCCAGTCTGTGGAACCAAGATGTGGGCCCTCATCATGGCCTGGAGCAGGAGGGAGGCCTCTCTCTATGCCTGTGTTGGGGCATTACCGGCCTAGATAGGTTATTGCCATTCACGACAAAAATAAAAATTTTAAAGTGTTTAATATCCAGCTATTTTGCCCACAAAGTTTGAAAGAGATCTGTCAACCTGCAACAGCTCAATGTTTAGTGAATAAATGACCAAATATAACAAACCTCTCGGACCTTGCAATTCCCTGGTTCCAGTTCACATTTGTCATCCATTAGTCTCTTCTTTCCCTTATGGTGCAGATCTATAAAATAAGTGAGGTTTTGATAAGATATTAAATGATCTTTAATTTTGTGACAGCCAGAAAATAACATTTTTGCTAAATGTGCCAAATGTAAGACCTCCAAAACAATCAATATGGCAGAAAGGCACATACCTCCATATAGTGGGCATGATCCATTTTGGGTAAGGGTGAAATCTGCAATAAGGAGGTTTCTCTTGATATTGATTACAGGAAGACCCTTCTAAAAAGGTTCCCATGGCATTAACAGAAACTCTATAAAAAGGGATGCCAAAAAGGTAGATCCCCAGATGTTTTAAAACTACAGCTTCCATGATGCTTTGTCATTCTAATGGTATGCAAAGCATCATGGGAGTTGTAGTTCTACAACATCTAGGAATCTACCTTTTGGGTACCTTGCTCTATAACAGAAGGGCCTAAGCTGCTGTCTGGTTTACAGAGGACAGTCAATTAAATGTATGGCTTCAGTAAAAAAGATATATATATTTGGGACCTGGTGAGATGACTATAGGACCTGAACATTATTTAGATCTAGCCCCTACAGACACTATCCACACTTGCCGTGGATAATTCTCTCCACCTGCTTCTCTCCTCCCCTCCCACCCCCCTTTACATTTATCTCATCCACTGCCTTTTTCTTTGTGCACCCTATGTTTGTGGAGCTGAAAACACTCAGGATCTTTCTAAAATTCAAACATGGATCCAAGCACGAATATTTGTGACACCCCTTGCCTAAATGTTCTGTATGTTCTACCTGAACTTCCTTGACCTGATGAACCTAAAAGAGAATCACAAAAGGTGATTCCATTAAAGAAACACTCCATACACACCATAAACACTACAGCCTGTTGTAGTGGCACCTTCCTATCTTTAGTAGTCAAACCAAAACTTACCTGGTGTTCACCTGGTGCCTGCAGCCACCTCCTCTGCCCCCACAAGTTCCTGCCCTGAGAGAAGTCTGGTGGTGCAGGTAGGCGCTCATTGGCTGAGAGCACCAATAAGCCAGCACAGGGCTTAGCAAAGTGGAGCTAATGAATCACCTTACAGGACATTCTGGCTCCAGAGGAGGTGATGGTGGATAACCAGACCTAAAGTAAGTTATCTTATAACAGTTTGACTACTTAGACTGGGAGGGCTCCAGTGCACTCTTAGCACTAAAGCAAACTATAGTTGTTATGGTGCTTGTTGATTTACCTTTAATTTTCATTACCAGTTCTAAAGGAATAAGAATGCAAAACAACCTATTAAGTAACATTATAATCGGAACTATTCTTTCAAAAAAGGCTCTTCTGTAGCACAACCAACTAAGACGTAAATGCTTGTTATTCAGCTTAACCCCTTAAGGACCAAATGTCTGCAATAAAAGGGAATCATGACATGTCACACATGTCATGTGTCCTTAAGGGGTTAAAGGGACACTATAGTCACTCAGACCACTTCAGCTCAATGAAGTGGTCTGGGTGCCAGGTCCCTCGGGTTTTAACCCTTCAGAGGCAAACATAGCAGTTTCAGAGATGAAGAAACTGCTATGTTTACATTTGGGGTTAAGCCAGCCTCTAGTGGCTGTCTTCCGGACACCCACTAGAGGCATATTATGCCTCCATCGCGCAGCGCGCCCATAGGAAAGCATGGAGAAATGCTTTCCTATGGACACTTTGAATGCGCATGCGCATTAAGCTCTGCTGACGTAGGACAGGGAGGAGAGGTCACCAGCGCCGAAGGAGCCCGGCGCTGGAATAAGGTAAGTGGCTGAAGGGGTTTTAACCCCTTCAGCGCAACAGGAGGGGAACCCTGAGGGTGGGGGCACCCTCAGGGCACTATAGTGTCAGGAAAACAGTTTTGTTTTCCTGACACTATAGTGATCCTTTAAGAGGACACTACAGGCTGCCAGACCACTCCCGCTCATTGAAGTGGCCTGGGTGCACTGTCCCAGTCTCCATAATCCTGCAATCGTAATTATTGCAATAATTACTATCCAGGGGTAACTCCACTGCTAGTGGCTGCCTACCAGATAGCCACTAGAGGGACTTCCGGGTCATTATGCGACTTTTAATCGCCTGACGGACGTTCTGACACGATGGATGCCCAGCGTCACACAAAATACAATAGGAAAGCTTTATACAATGCTTTCCAATGGGGCTGTCCTGATGTACTTGCTGCCCATTAGGTCCCCTATGTCGGAGAAGAAGGAACCAGACCTAGCACTGAGTGGTGACCTATTGGGAGTTCTAGTCGTAGGAATACAAGTTTGTATTCCTAGATTATAGTGTCCCTTTAATAATTTGGTTGCAGGAATTTACATGGTCTGTTCCTGCACTATAACAGGCTAAAATACAAATTCCTCAATTACAGTACTTTAGGACCAGTAGCAAAAAAAACAAACAAAAAAATTTAAAGTGCCCCAATTTCACTCCTTATGCAAATTACCCAATAGCAGCACATGAAGACAGGACACTACTATGCCCTGAGTTTTAGAGTGTCCAGAATCTGACTTCCTAATAAAAATAAAAAGCCAATAGGAGACATAATTCCTGTTAGTAGACTGAGCATGTCTGAGGGGTCTATAAGGATAGAATGAGGTATTTTTTCACAAATACAAAATTTCACATAAATTGCTCAGCACCTCCAATCCCCTATGGATTATCCTATGACAGCAAATAATACTAAATTATACAGATACAGTATTAGAAATAGGATATCATGACATCTACATTAAAACAAATGCCAATCTCAGCATGATACCTGGAGTTACTGTATAGGCTGCCACTTTCAATAAGGCTGCCAAGCACAGATTACCTGAGCTCATGGATCCCTCTGTCTGGGTCTTATTCTTGTTAATGACAGACAGTGTGTCCATCCTTGGTTCTGGCTCGCAGTTCTGGTCTGACCCATTACTGAGCTCCCTGTCAGACAGTGGGCCCATCCTTGGTTCTGATCCATTACTGAGCTCCCTGTCAGACAGTGGGCCCATCCTTGGTTCTGACCCATTACTGAGCTCCCTGTCAGTCAGTGGTACCAGCCTTGGTTCTGAGTTCTGTTCTGACCCATTACTGAGCTCCCTGTCAGTCAGTGGGTCCATCCTTGGTTCTGACCCATTACTGAGCTCCCTGTCAGTAAGTGGGTCCATCCTTGGTTCTGACCCATCACTGAGCTCCCTATCAGTCAGTGGGCCCATCCTTGGTTCTGAGTTCTGTTCTGACCCATCACTGAGCTCCGTGTCGGTCCGTGGGCCGGTCAGTGGGCCCATTCTTGGTTCTGACCCATTAATGAGCTCCGTGTCGGTCAGTGGGCCGGTCCCGGTTCTGTGTGCGTGTTGCAGTGTGCTGATGAGCCGGCCCAGCACGTTGTCCATGATGTGGGCCCCCAGGAGCAGTCCCAGGTCACACACTGAGAGAGCCTCCTCCATGCTGCCCCCGGTCCCGCACAGGCCCAGCGCTCGGTACAGGCAGCCGTAGGAGTATAGCCGCCTCCAGCTCCGGGACACCTCCCGCCAGCCGCGGCCGTTCAGCCTCTCCCAGCCACAGTCCATGAGCTGCTCCCCGAGCTGGCCGCACCGCCCGGCCTCCCCTCGGTACACACAGGCCGCGGCTTCCCGCACACACCAGGCCGCGCTGCCATCCACCTCCGGCCCGAGCTCCACCGGGAACTCCTCCACAGAGCGAGCCAGGAGAGCCCGGGCCGCGCCCCACACCGAGCGCTGCATCGACCGCCGGGGGGAGGGGGAGGAGCTACCGGGACTGTGACAGGCCCCGCCCCCACAGCATACTCCTCCCACTCCCAGCTGGAGTTATAAACCTGCCTCCTCCCGCCCACACGAGGTAAACCACGCCCCCGCCGGGATAACCCCGCCCTTGCACAGCCTGCCATTCCATCCAGCTCTCCCCCTCCCCCTGCACAGCCTGCCATTCCATCCAGCTCTCCCCCCCCCTGCACAGCCTGCCATTCCATCCAGCTCTCCCCCTCCCCCTGCACAGCCTGCCATTCCATCCAGCTCTCCCCCTCCCCCTGCACAGCCTGCCATTCCATCCAGCTCTCCCCCTCCCCCTGCACAGCCTGCCATTCCATCCAGCTCCCCACCTCCCCCTGCACAGCTGCCCCACAGCTTGCCATTCCATCCAGCTCTCCACCTCCCCTGCACAGCCTGCCATTCCATCCAGCTCCACCTCCCCCGCAGCCTGCCATTTCCATCCAGCTCTCCCTCCTCGCGGCCTGCCATTTCCATCCAGCTCTCCCACCTCCCTCGCTCCTGCCACTCCACCACTCTCCACCTCCCCTCGCGCCTGCCATTCCATCCAGCTGCCTCCAGCCCAGCTCTCCACCTCCCCTGCGCAGCCTGCCATTTCCATCCAGCTCTCCCACCTCCCCTGCGCGGCCTGCCATTTCCATTAAGCTCTCCACCTCCCCTGCGGCCTGCCATTCCCATCCCGGCTCCACCCCCCCCCTGCGGCTGCCATTTCCATCCAGCTCTCCTCCCCCTCTCGCAGCCTGCCATTTCATCCAGCTCTCCACCTCCCCTCGCAGCCTGCCATTCCATCCAGCTCTCCACCTCCCCCTGCGCAGCCTGCCATTCCATCCAGCTCTCCCCCTCCCCCTGCACAGCCTGCCATTCCATCCAGCAACCCACCTCCCCCTGCACAGCCTGCCATCCCATCCAGCTCTCCACCTCCCCCTGCACAGCCTGCCATTCCATCCAGCTCTCACCTTTTCTCCGAGGCTAGTTTTGCCTTCATGGCTAAGATCATCAATCTTCAAGATCTCAGCTAGGCCAACAGGAAAGCATTTGGAGGATATTACGCATGCACAGCTATGCCAGTCAGCATTGCCTCATAGAGATGCATTGAATCAATGCATCTCTATGAGGAATGTTCAGCGTCTCCATGCAGAGACGCTGAACATAGGACTTTCTAGTGGACATCTGAGTGAATGTCATTAGAGGTGCTACTAGACAGCAATGTACACACTGCCTTTTACTTAAAGAACCACTCTAGGCACCCAGACCACTTCAGCTTAATGAAGTGGTCTGGGTGCCAGGTCCAGCTAGGATTAACCCATTTTTTTAGTTTACAAATGGGTTAATCCTTCCTCCAATTCCTCTAGCAGCTGTCTCATTGACAGCCGCTAGAGGCGCTTGCGTGATTTTCACAGTGAGAGCACGCAAGCGTCCATAGGAAAGCATTGTAAATACTTTCCTATGCGACCGGCTGAATGCACGCGCAGCTCTTGCCGCGCGTGCGCATTCAGCTGAATGGGAGGATCGGAGGAGGAGAGCTCCCCGCCCAGCGCTTGAAAAAGGTACGTTTTTACCCCTTTCCTCTCCCCAGAGCCGGGCGGGAGGCGAACCCTGAGGGTGGGGGCACCCTCAGGGCACTATAGTGCCAGGAAAACAAGTATGTTTTCCTGGCACTGTAGTGGTCCTTTAAGTAAATAACCTTACAAGCAACAACAACTACTATAGCTCACTGTAGTGGTTAGATTGCCTAGGGCACCCTAGTGCCATACCCAAGTTTAATATCAAACCATTTAAGAAGGGATTGCTATAAACTGAGGTGCTCTTTGTGCCACTGAGGGACTGCCTCCATCTTGGCCACATTAATAATATGGAATTAACACATCCTCATTGTCAAAGTTGTTATCCAACCATTGGTACAGAATGTGAGGCATCTGGTGGAAAACATGTATTGCTATACTAGCGCTCTTCACTTTTCACCCTTTTAGAGATATATATATATACTTATATAGAATACAACATGCTTCAGCCTGACCTGTTCAAAAAGCCTAAGGACGCAATGCCTTTAATTTATATGAATTATATTTCTCTCTTCTCAGAATGTATCTGTCTCTTTCTAGGTCATAATTTTAAAGGACCACTATAGGCACCCAGGTAGGATCTAGGATTAACCCTGCCTGCTGTAAACATAGCAGTTTCAGAGAAACTGCTATGTTTACTGAAGTGGAAAAATCAATTAAAGTATTGATTATTTCTTTGTGTATCTGCCCCTGGCCAAATCAATGAAACAATGCGTGCACGCTCCCTGAAGTAATTCACACCAGACACAGGTTCTAGGTTGTTGAATAACTTGAGGAAAGTTTATTCAGAGGGGACGGCAAGTCCCTTTTAAAGCAAAATTACATCATAAGAATTGTCAGAGATAACATGGAATAATACATCAATAATTGGTTAGGTGTTAAGTGGTTGCTTCAATGCTCTGCCTACTGTAGGTGATGTCACCGGGGCCATGAGAATCTCCCACGGTTTCCCGGCGCCATCTTGGTGCACGAGGTAGTTAGTCGATGTTAGAAGGGAGAAAGGAAGGGGGAGGGGGAAGGAGCTAGAAGCTTCTAGCAGCCATCTTGATTATAACGTGTGTGCTTAGCTATATATGTATATATCGTGAAATGAGTAAATAGACATTTTTCACTAACTAGGAAATATGTGTAGACCTTATTTCCACAACAGTCCCCCCTAAAATGGCTATTTACCATAACAACTGCTACTGTCCCTAATATGTCCCTAGCTGCCTGCAGCTCATCTGTCTTAACAAGCATTGAACACTTCACTCCGTGGGTAACCCGCGGTGGCTAGTCCACCACATCTCCACACGTGAGACTCGCCTGCCAAGACAGACGCTTTCCCTATACTGTCCCTACAGGAAAGCAGTTGTTTGTTTGAACTGATGTGATTGAAGGGGTGTATGTGGAGTATCATCTTCGAGATCTGTGATGTCTTGGTGTATGAAAGTAGGGGTCACGCCATCTATAGTCTTGTCTACCGCTTTCTGTAAGTAGTTCTGTATGCAGGGGAATATGCAACAGGTCAAAAATAAGAAAATGACGATCATTATGAGAACAGCTGTCCCCACCTGGAAGAGGGTCTTTTGCCAGCCATTCATCCATCCAAACCATCTGTCCCAAGTGTCAGTGACTCCTGAATTTTTCTTTAGCTCGTCTGCAAGACTATCTAGCTTTTCTATGGCCATAGTCACCTTACCATTGGGTCCAGTGTTGTCTGGAATGTATGTGCAGCATGTCATGGTCTCAGGGAGGATTTTACATACACCCCCTTTCTCAGCTAATATCATATCTAGGGCCATTCTGTTCTGAAATGTCATTTGGGTAGTGGCTTGCAGTTGCTCTGCCAGGCCCTGTAGGGCATCCCTAGTGTAATTGACAAAGCGCTGTTGATTATAGTAAATGTAGTTAATCCAATTGACATTTTTGTTAGCAGTTATCATTGGAATTAGGGATTCAAATCCTGCAGCCACTTCATCTCTTGCCTTGAATTCGTTAGGCACCCCCCTTGGCACACCTATGGCATCAATATACACATGGGGGTCGAAGCTCCCTCGGATAGGAGTCTCTCGTTTAGTTCTAGAGTGTACATGTGTGAGGTTTAACGTGTTATGGTCACCATCTGGAATGATATGGATAGGCATTATGACTTTAGTTAGGGCACACTCCCCCCACCATTGCCCAGTTAATTGGGACCTCAATTGTTTATCACCACATAACCAGTAGATATCACCGAATGTCTTTGTGTGATTCATCAGCAGTGATATGGGTGGATTATGGTAAGTTGAGCAGTATCCTGATGGGAATTTGCCCAGATACAAACCGGTGTTCTTAGAGATTGTGTAACATGTGTAATTACCTGGGTAGATGGTGACTCCATCAGGTGGTTTTACATGTCCATGAGTGATCGGGTAAATTCTCTTCCATGATTCACATGTTGAGGAATTGGTGATGGACTGTGTGTAGAGACTCAGAACACATGATTCTACTTCAGGAGGTAAGTTCAGAGGAACTGTGCCCAGATGGGGCCTGGCTCCTCCACACACATAACAATTAGTTCTATTGTGTGAGTTGGCATTGTACCTCATCCATTCTAGCCACAAATTAGTGTCTGAAAAACCAGTCTCCACTGCCATAGTGTCTTCAAAGGTGGGGTTGGCTATAGCTACCATGTCATGTAGGGTCTTAATATGTGGTTTTAATGGGTTAACGATCATGTGAGTGGTCCCTACCCAGTCTGGGGAGGTGAGCATGTCTTGTAGGTAAAACGTCCCCAATGCATTATGTGAGCCACCTCCCTTCCAGTACATCCCCATCACATATTCCCCTGCATTCCTTGGACTAGGGTGCTCTATATTTAGGGTAAGTTTAATGGGAGTTGACCCTGTGGGTTTACTCAGAGTCATTCTAGAAAGTAGGGGCTTCCCGTCTTTGTCAAGTCTGTCTAGTGCAACCTGAGGTCTGTAGCCCCATGGTCTACCTGTATTCCACCCGGCAGCTTTCCATGAACTACAATGGTGTCCCCAGGCTCCTCCAGTCACACAAATGTATGGGTCCTTTTTGTTAGGTATGTCTTTGTATATGGCTGCATGTTGTGTCTGCGGGAATGTACAAGTAACTATGTCACAGTAATCAAAGGTGTATGTGGCCACATCAGTATTAGAAGAGTTGTACCAGAAAGTGTAAACGTGATTATCTTTGGTTATGGCCACTTGCTGGGCCCAGGCAAAGTGCAACAACACAAGAAAACACAAGACACATAATAAATTCATGTTTCAACAGGATCAGCTTCTTCTGGAGCAGGCACTTTTTTGCAATGTGAAGCGTGTATCCAGGAACTTTTCCCAGCTAGTTTAACTGACGTTGCTGTAATCAGGAGCACTTGATAAGGGCCATCAAATCTTGGTTCTAGGGTGTGTTTTCTGAGGAACTTCTTAACCATAACCCAATCACCCGGAAGCAGC